TATTTCATACTTTATTGATTTTGTATATAATGTATTACATTTACTACGTATAATTAATAAAGCCTTGAGAAAGACCTATGGAGCATTACCACTGTACTATAGACCCATAAATAAGTCTTATATATTTTATATTATATAACAATAAATATAATAATAATAATAATAATAAAACTCTTTCATATATATAACTTTTTTCTTAAAAAAATTTTTTTTTAGTAATTATCTTTTAAAATTAAAGAAGCAAATATTTTTCTTGTTTTTCAACTTTTCAAAGTTCTTACATATCCTTTACCTTTACTACAAGAATCTTAAGGAAATTAAAGAAGTATACTAATGCCTCAGAATAGAACTTCTGGCCAAAGAAAAGCAAGTTTAGGGCTCTTGCTTTTTTTTTGAATTGTATGAGAAAAGACCTATGACAGTTATTTCTTTATAAATCTTCCTTGGAGTTCTTCTTATTTTCACTTCTTATAAATATATATTTCTTATTAAATAATCATATTTTTTTCTTAAAGATCTTCTTTGCAAACTAAAAAATAAAAACACATATTAAAAATGTTTATATTGTTAACATGAAAGACTAGCAATATATTCATTGTTTACTTCTTACTATCATCCAGTATAATTTGTTGTATTACAAAAAATTCAAAACTTTTTTTCAAAAAAATTTTCATAAAAAAACTACAATCAGTTTACTCCTGTCAATTGATATATATCTCAAAACTAATTAATTAAACATTATTAATTTTTCAAACAAATCTGTATTATCAAAATATCCCATACTAATCAATATAAACAAAATTTTTTTTAATAACAACTATTAAAACAAAATCACATTACTAACAAACAAACCAATTATAATATTAACAAATAAACCAATCACTAATCATATTAATAAAACTATAACATAATCATTATAACCAATCAAATATCAAAGAAATATATCATTAACACTATTATATACTTTGGATAGTAGCCTGATCATTTGTAATAAATATACATATACCTAAGAATCCTAATGATTCTTTTCAATTCTATATTCGATTCTTAAGTTTATATTAAATTTAATAGGTGAAGTATACCTTACCATTATTTTTAATAGTGTTTGAACCTCATGTGATTTCCTGCAATTCTGTTTGATTTCAATTTTCAGAACCATATATGCTATAGTAATTTAATATTAAGAATTTAAAAATCATATATAAAATTATAATAACTTATTAATAAATATTTTGCTACTTACCTATAGATCTATAGCTTAGTAGTAAAACTTTATATAAATTACTAGGTAAATATCTAAAATTCAAACTAGGGCTTCAAAATAATATCAAACTAGTATTAAAATAATATTAATTTATAGTAAATTTAATATATAGATTATAATCTACTTATATAAATTTATAATAATTTTAAGTATCAAACTAGATTTGAATTGATATTAAAGTAGTATTATTAGAAGTTCTAGTTTAAATTTATCTGATTACAAAAATTTATTACAAATCTTTTTTAATTAGACTATATAAAAATAAAACTTTTGATATTTTCAATAGTTATAGTGTTATAACAAACCATATACTGTAAAAAAAGAATTGTATAAAAAAAAACTTCTGGTTTAATTTTGATTAACCCTGTAACAAGTTATATAAACATTACATCAATATTTGAATATATAAATTAAATTGTATTTCATTTTAACTAATCTTATTTATTTATATAAAAGTTAATTCTAATTAATCAAGATTATATAAAAGAAAATAAACAGGATATCTTGGATAAATTACTTTAAAAAAAACTATTTTGTATCTATATGGCTTTATAATCTATTAGAAGTTGATACAATTTAAATAGATAATCTAATGGAAGAGAATAGAGTTATTAAATTAAATGAAAATATGATTCTAAAAATTGAAATAAAATAAAATCACAGAGAATTATATGTAATTTAAAACATTATTAAAAATGATAGTGGGATATATTCTATTTATTAAATTTAATATAAACTTGAGAATCAAATATAAAATAGAAGAGAATTATTAAGATTTTTACTTATAAGATAAGATTTTTTTTATCTTTATTATTAATAAAATTAACTAATTGAGAGATTAATAAGATGAAACATTTCAAGAGTATAACCTGTTTTACTGAATATAAATTAATAGATAAATTGCTAGTATTAAGTTATATATAATATAAATGACATTTGATATATTTTTAATATCAATATATATCAATAAAAAACAACATTTAATACAGTTTCCTCCCTCAAAAAAAAATTCTGCTATTTGAAAATAGTTTAGCTTTAGTATAAATTTTATTGTATTAAATTTTGTTTACTTTTTATATAAGTATTGTTTAAAAGTTGGGTCCGAAAAAATCATATCTAGCATTTTGTTGCCTTCAAAAATAATTACCTATATTAGTATACAGTTTGATTAGAAAAATAAATAAATAAATAATAATAAAATTTTTATTATAATTTTTATTTTTTTGATATATAATAATATAATAAAATAAATTATGTAATATATAAAAATTTATAAATTATAAACTCTAGGCAGCTTTTTATTTTAATAAAAATTTTAATAATTTAAATTATAAAAAGTACAATTTAAATTAAAATATTTATTTAATTAGTAATTGAAAAAAAAATTTTAATGAAAAAATCGAATTAATTTTATTCAAATAGGAAATTTATGTTTAAACTATTATATAATAAAATAAACACAAAATATATCGATATTAAATATTTTTAATTGCAATAAATTGATTAAATTATACAGCTATTAATATTTAAAAACTTTACGCTATATATTTTTGCAATATTTACGTATATATAGTATACAACTTATTTATTTTTGCTTTTATAGCAAAATTTATTAAGGTATATAATCGATGTCTATTTTAATCATAAATTCGCATCAAAAGAGATTGTGTGAAGTAAAAAAACTAATGAGGTAGGAGGTACGTTTGGTTCTTTATTCAATAATTAATATACAAACTTAATAGGAAATATATATAGTTTCGGCATGTAAAGACTTTGAAAGTCGTTCGTAGATTAGAAGAACCAAACCAAACAATCTTTCAAAACCGCAAAAGAATGTCTGATATAAACCCATATACATTAATATAATTCTGCAAACTTTAATAATAGATTATTACTCGTTGTTAACTCTATTATTTATGCTATTTTACCTTTTCTTTTTTTTTTTATTCACTATCTTTTGTTTCCTCTTTCTTAGCATCATCAGCCATTTCTAAAGGGGGAATTTCTTCATCATCCGAATCATCCTAGAATTAAAATGATTTGAAAAACAAAATTTAGATTTAGATTGTTATCAAAAGCATAATGCAACTACTTAAACTTACATCAAGTGGATTATTTTGACCAGAATCACCGCCCATCAGATTAGAAAAATCCATTCCACCCAATGGGTCCGGTGCCGAGCTTTCATCATCATCATCATCATCCTTCCATCTTGCAAAATCAGTTTTGAGGTATGGAATTTTACCTTTCTCTTTCTGCAAACGTGGCCAGTAACCATTCTCCACTTTGTAAAGGACAATGAAGATGGAACGCGCAGTCTGTGAGCGTTTTGAAGTCTAAGATGCATTGAATCAAATTGTCAAACCGAGTTAAATTGCTGAGATCAACTAGAAACTATTATCATATTTAATACAATTTTGATAATATCTATTGACACATGCTCTGCCCTATAATTAAACATTCATAACAGTATTTTACCTCCGGATTAATTTCCTTATGTAGTTCCAGTTCAAACCCGTACAACTTTTGTTCTGTTCCTCCAACTCCTTCAAAGGAAAGCTTATCCTTAGTTACGTTAATTTTAGGATCTTTGACATCGGTTAAACTTATAGTAATATAAAGTTCGTTTGCTCGTTGTGCCCAAAGTACTTCGGGATGAAGAACTTTGCTTTTGAGAATTACAAGTAATCAAACCCATGTAAATATAAGCATAAGTGAGTATATACCTTCGATTTTCGTGTCCTTTCTTTTTAGACAAATGAAAATAGCTTATTTACCTGGTAGTCATTATTTTTCAGAATAAAATAATAGAAGAGTTATGAAAAATCGAAAAGTAATGAAAAGTATTCTGTTTAATTGTTTATATGAAAACCTTTGGAACACGAGAGTTTAACTCCGTGTTGATATCAGATCTTTTTTCTCATCTATGACGTCAATATGTTCGCGAATGTTCTGGTGAAAATTTCATATGATTACGTACAGTTGTTATATAAAATAAAATAAAAATTCTTTTATTACAAAATCTCTTATGCAATAAATTAAATAATATCCTGCTTATATTAATTTTATTTTTATAATTTTTTGTAATTTGTTAATAAAATTTTTATTAATATAAATAAAATTAAATAAAAAATTTATAATAATAATATTTTATATAATATATATTTTTTAAAATAGTTAAAGTAAGGTTTTTTTTGTAATTTTATTGAGTATGAATTTTATCGATACATAATTAATTTCTAAATCTAGAGATGTATTAACTATGAATACTAGCCTACCACCTATATAGTAGATATATTCTTAAAAAAAACTTATTACAAAAAAAAAAAAAGAAGGAACTATCTATTTAAAAAGATGAAAAAATTAAAAACTTCAAATTTATGAAAAAAGAAATAAAGAAAAAATAAAATTATAGAGAAAAATAAATGTAAAAAAATATAAAATTTGTTTTAATAACTGGTCTGGCTATTTTTTCAATATATTATTTCATTATTGACAATGGCATAAATACAATAGTAATGATAGGTATAATTGGATGAATTAAAATATTAATATAAAAAGTTGATAGGTTATATAACTAGAACTCATGCAGAGTACTGATTATGCACTTTTCCAATCTGGATACATTTGTAATTTGTGGTAGTTTTAATAATATGTATAGTTGTTTTGATATTTTTATTGTTGATATTATAATACAAAATATTATTGATATATTATAAATATTGATCTTTTAATGAAGATAAACTGGATTTGGTTTTATAAATAAGAAAATAAGCAAGAATTAAAAACTAGCCAGAAAATTGTGAATAACCTGGTACTAATTATCATTAGCAGAAAATAAAAACTCTGAAAAAATAAAATATTGTCTCTTGGTATATATGTAAATATTTGAGAAAAAAAAGAAGTATATAATATATTTTTTTTTTTCTGACGACTGGCGTACACCTTGTTTTATTAGATATGAATTTACTGTACATGTGTTTTTCCCTTTATGGGAATTGACTACTACCTATCTACCTAATGAAACTACCTAGAGAAAGTTCTTATG